CGGTGGAGTTTGTCCGTGGCGCTTATCTCCATGAGAAGGGGCAGGCTCTACAGCGTTATCGTGCCCCCCTTCTTCCTCTACTTCATCGTCTTGGTCAATCGGCTCAAGCGGCCCCCAACTGTCCTCGAACTGTCTCCACATCCGGTTCTTGAAATACTCGAGAATGGGGAAATAAGGTCCGGCGCCTTCCCCCAGTCGCCATGCCTCCGACCGTTCGACGGGTCGCGCGACTCTTTATCCGACATTCTGAGGTTGTCCCACAGGAAGGGCCCCGAATATCCGAAGTGCTGCCCGTTGACTTGAATCTGGTAACTCAGGAACGATCACCAAACTTCAACAGGGACAACAGCCTCCGGTCCGACGACCGGCGTCCCCATATGCTTCTGAAATTTAACCCAACGGTAGCCCAAAATCTGAGCCTTGTTCTGAAGCCACGCGTGGACCTGAGCTGGCGCGGCACCCTCCGCCGACGTGGGCCACCACGCAAGCGCAGTCATGTATTGGAACGCCTGGGCTGTCCTGCCTTGGAGAGCCCATATGCACAGGTAGTGTGCCATCTCTGGATATTTCCACCTTTGTTCAGACTTATCTATTTCCCAACCATCCTGTGGTGTTGGGTCCTCGTTTTGAAGAGACGGTGCCCCGCGTCTCTCCTCCTCTCCTCCTCCTCCCCCTCCTCCTCCTCCTCCTCTCATCATCAGCATCATCATCATCGTCATCGTCACCGTCATCATCAGCATCATCATCATCATCGTTCTTATCACCATCGTCGTCATCATCATCGCCGTCTCCATCATGGCCACACGTTTCGTGGACCCATAGTGAGCTCCACCGAAGGCCCCAGTGGCAAGGTCCGCATGCGGTTCCACCTCCATTTCGGCGCACCCCTCACACGTTCCGTGGCCCCATAGGGAGCTCCACCGAAGGCCCAAGTGTCAGGGTCCGCATGCGGTTCCACCTCCATTTCGGCGCACCCCTCACACGTTTCGTGGCCCCATAGGGAGCTCCACCGAAGGCCCAAGTGTCAGGGTCCGCATGCGGTTCCACCTCCATTTCGGCGCACCCCTCACACGTTTCGTGGCCCCATAGGGAGCTCCACCGAAGGCCCAAGTGTCAGGGTCCGCATGCGGTTCCACCTCCATTTCGGCGCACCCCTCACACGTTTCGTGGCCCCATAGGGAGCTCCACCGAAGGCCCAAGTGTCAGGGTCCGCATGCGGTTCCACCTCCATTTCGGCGCACCCCTCACACGTTTCGTGGCCCCATAGGGAGCTCCACCGAAGGCCCCAGTGTCAGGGTCCGCATGCGGTTCCACCTCCATTTCGGCGCACCCCTCACACGTTTCGTGGCCCCATAGGGAGCTCCACCGAAGGCCCAGTGTCAGGGTCCGCATGCGGTTCCACCTCCATTTCGGCGCACCCCTCACACGTTTCGTGGCCCCATAGGGAGCTCCACCGAAGGCCCAAGTGTCAGGGTCCGCATGCGGTTCCACCTCCATTTCGGCGCACCCCTCACACGTTTCGTGGCCCCATAGGGAGCTCCACCGAAGGCCCAAGTGTCAGGGTCCGCATGCGGTTCCACCTCCATTTCGGCGCACCCCTCACACGCTTCGTGGCCCCATAGGGAGCTCCACCTGAGGCCCCAGTGGCAGGGTCCGCATGCAGTTCCACCTCCATTTCGGCGCACCCCTCACACGTTTCGTGGCCCCATAGGGAGCTCCGCCTAAGGCCTAAGTGGCAGGGTCCGCATGCAGTTCCACTTCCATTTCGGCGCACCCCTCACACGCTTCGTGGCGTCATAGGGAGCCCCGCCTAAGGCCCAAGTGGCAGGGTCCGCATGCAGTTCCACCTCCATTTCGGCACACCCCTCACACGTTTCGTGGCCCCATAGAGAGCTCCTCCTAAAGCCCAAGCGGCAGGGTCCGCATGCAGTTCCACCTCCATTTCGGCGCACCCCTCACACGCTTCGCGGCCCCATAGGGAGCTCCACCGAGGGCGCCAATGGCAGGGTCCGCATGCAGTTCCACCTCCGTTTCGGCGCACCCCTCACACGTTTCGCGGCCCCACAGGGTGCTCCACCGAAGGCCCCAGTGGCAGGGCCCGCATGCAGTTCCACCTCCATTTGGCGCACCTCTCACACGCTTCGTGGCCCCATCGGGTGTTCCACCAACGACGATACTTACAACGGCGGCATTCGGAATTGCGCATGGTTGGGCCCTTCGCCAGGATTATTTTTATCGGTGGTGCGACCAGCTGTATGCGTCGGAGGCCTCGCATTCGACGCGGGTGCGCGGTTCCCGGTCTCAGGGTCTACGTCCATACTCGTGACTTCCTAAGGCCCAGCGTTTCCCGCGCAACTGCAGGGCGAATCGCACTCGGGGGCCCGAGCCTCGGCTCGTGCCGCATCGGCTGGGAGCAGCGCAAACAGCTGATCGCACCCATGCGATTGCGACGCGCTTTGGAGCATCAAAGGTAGCCGCCCTCCCAGGGCGGAGGCAGAATCATCTTACGCTTGAAGTCGCTCGAAGCCAGCCGATGATTTAGGTCGCCATGCGTGACAAAACCTTCTTTGCGTTTAACGTTGTCGACGCATCCTGGGTCCGTCAATGGAGCGAGCCAGACTCCTCCGAATCGCCGGTCGAACACGACCGTCCACGACTCCGTCAGGACGAACGCGTCTGACGCGGCAATCCGCAGGATCTGGCGAATCTCATCCCAGCGCGGACGGAACTCAATTGCCAAGGAGCCATCGGGCATGCCGATGTCGAGGATGCGAAGATGCGAAGAGCGACAGTCGCTATAAAGTGGCCAGACAGCTTCGTTGTCTACATCAAACACCCTCGCGTCCAAATTATCGGCAGGTCGCGATCTGGACCGCCCGTCAGGACGCAGCCAGCGCGGGAACTGCCCTGGTTGGTCAACATATTCACCATCCTTCTCGCTGTACCAGGGTGATCCCACCCTGCGCGTTGTCCTCCGCCGCTTCCACGACCGAGTCGTCCGGTCTTGAAAACTCATTCAACTTGACAGGAATTGCATACGCATGCCTATGCTGCCTTATCCCATTGATGCCAGCCCCTGGAGGAACCATGTTGCCAACCATCGATTGCAAGACGCTCGACACAGCGAAAGGGGAAATTATTGCCGACGGCATGTCGTTCCCTGTTGGCTGATGGCGGGGTTATGTGTGCTCACGCTGAACCACCCTCGCCGAGTATCCCTGTGAGGCACGGAAGACGATGGGCTTCACGTCTGGAGGCCCGAAGTCTGCCCCGTATAATGCTCCGCTGTCTCGAGGTAGAGTCCGCCCGTAACCTTACTTCCAGCAGTCCGGGCGTCCGATCGCTGGCTCGTCATTCTTCGCGAAGTTGACACCCGATGCTTGCATTGACTTCTCAGAGCAGCCTCTAAGATGGTTCCAGGACGGCCCCAGAAGCCTCCAAGAGGCCCTCGAAACGACCCAAGATGGACTCCAAATTGCCCAAGAGGCCGCCAAGACGGTCCAAACAGGCCCCAAAACTGCCCAAGAGGACTTCAAGAGAGCCCCGAGAGGCCCCCCAGACGGCCTCCGAAGGGGTCAGACGGCGCAAGAGCACCCCACGAGGCCCCAAGAGGCCCCAAGGAGACCCCCAAGAAGCCCCCAGAGGCCAAGAGGCTTCCAGAGGCCCCAAAGGAGCCTTCAACAGGCCCCCAAGAGGCCCCCAAAGACCACCAAGAGGCCCCCGAAATTGTATACGAATGGCGCGTTGTTGCTATGCTCATCGGGATTTGAACTTCGCGTTGCCTTGTGCTGACATGCGGTGAGTGCTCAGTGCTTCGTGGACATTCGCGCGCTCGTCCCAGCAGGGCGGGCAGAACGACACGGCAGACCAGCGCGGCAGACGAGCAGGGCAAACTACCCACCGCCCAGTCTTTACGTGCTCGGGACGTGCATCCCGCGAAGCGAGAGGAATCATCATCGTCGTCATCATCAGCATCGTCGTCGTCATCATCACCATCATCATTAACATCACCGTCTCCATCATCACCACCATCATCGCCATCATCACCAACATTATCAGCATCACCAAAACCACCATCACCACCATCACACCATCACCATCACCATCACCATCATCGCCATCATCAGCAGCAACATACTCATCTCGTCATCATCATGATTATCATCCTCATCATCATCCTCATGGTGATGATGATCATCATCATCCGCATCATATTCGAAATCGTACGCATCATCATCCTCATCTGCATCACCACCAATACCATCATCCTGATTATCATCCGTATCAGCACCATCAGTACTGACATCATGATTATTAGCTATTAGCTTTACTACTAATATTTGTGTGAATGCGAATGTTCATATTGCTCATGCAACAAACTAATAAGAATAATAGGCATGATATTATTCGGATTAGTAATAGTGTATTGTTATTGCTGTTATTACCACTCGCACCATAGTTGATATTATCACTGGTATCCCTAGCAAGATCATTGCTCTCATTCTCATTACCAATATCAGCATCATCATCCTCAGCCTCATCAGTATCATCTTCCGTGTCATCCTCAGTCATCATCATCGCCAATGTCATCATCATCATCAGCAGCAGTATCACCGCCATCAGTGTTAACAGCTTTATGATTTACTCACTCATAGTATTGTGTTTATTGTCCTTATTCGGATTAGTAATATCAGTATTCGCTGTACTATTATAAGTCATATTACCGTGATGCTATTTATGTTGCTAATACTACTCTCATTATTTCCCATACTAACGTTAATAGTACCGATACCATCACCGCCATCATCATCACCAATATCACCATCGCAATCACCGTCATGGCCATCACCATGTACCACCGCCATCATTACCAGCAACTGCGAGCGCCGAACGCTCTGCCAGGATCGAGCGGCTCAGCGAAAACACACACACACACACACACATCCAGGTTGCTGAAGTGATGCGAAGGCGCCCCCCAGAGGATCGAGCACCTTCACTTTGGAGGTGGTACCTCCCTTGAGCGTCCAGGACTCAGACAAAAGCCCTCAGCATTGAGGTCCAACCTCCACTCTGAGGGCCTCGGACCCTCTGGGAATTGCTGAGCGGCCTCTTTCTGTTCCACCGCGATTCCGCGAGCCAGTCCGTCGTCGGCACCTCCGGAAAACGGGGGCGCCGACGGCACACGCAAGGGTACTCCGAGCGCGAAACTCTCCGATCGCGCAGCTCGGCCCGGATACCTGCCCGCCCCGGGTGCCCATTGAGCACCTCAGCGCCCCCTGAACGCGAAGTTCCGCTTGGTGCCCCCGGCGCCAGACTTCTTCGTGCCGCCCATGCCGGCGGGCTCGGGCGGCTTCACCGAATTCGCCTCCGCCTCGGCGGGGGGGATGGGGAGGCGCATGCAGGTCCCCCCCGCGTTCCCCATCTCTCCTCCTCCCTCCTCCCCTCTTCCCTCCTCCCCTCTCCATGATCCGAAACATAGTCCCCCCTCTCCATCTCCCTCGTATCTCCTCCGCCCTCCTCTCTCCCTCCCTCCCTCCCTCCCTCCTCCTCCTCCGTCCATCCTCCATCCTCCTCTTCCTTTCCCTCCTCCTCCTTCTCCTGCTCCTCCTCCTCCTCTGCCATCCTGACCTCCTCCACCCCCGCCCCCTCCCCATCCTTCTTCCTTTTTTAAGGAAGATGCCCCAAGATGCCCACCCCAAGATCTCCCGACCCCTGTCGCCCCAAGATGCCCACCCCTGCTAAGCAATGGCCCGAATGTGACGCCAAAGCGACCCTGCGGCCCAAAGAGAACACCGAGACGAACCGATTGTGTTCCGGTTGAACTAAGGCTACCGCGTGACCCCGATGTTAGGTGGCCAGGGGACGATCCCATGAGCCCGAGACGACTTCGAGATTGCTACAAGATGACCCCTTCAAATCCTAGTTGACGACCCCAAGATTGTGTCAATACGTCTCCAATGTGACTCCGATGCGTGCCTTTATTCTGCCCTTGCTCTTGGCATGGGCCGATAGGACGGATGGGGGTGCTGGCCCTCCGCCCCCTCGTCGTCGCTTTGGCCTCGGACCGCCAGGCCTCGTCTGACCGTGCATCCGTCGGCACGCCAACACAAACCTACGCCCAGAATCCGGGGAGGGAAGGGGACGAGGACGAGGCACGAAGGAGGGGAGGGGAGGACGGCGGGGCGGAGGAACGACCTTACAGAGCGTGGTGCACCCTATCGCCAGCAAGGTCGGCCACTGCCCAGGGCCGGGTGAGACGACGTGCACGGGGGGAGCGAGGAGGAGACAGGCAAGGGAGGCGAAGAGCCGGCCCTCCCCCGCGGGGTTAGCCGGAGCTCCGCCTCCAGGAGGCGAGCGCGGGAGGAAAGAGACGAGGGGGAAGGATCTTCCAGGCGGACGCGGTACAATTTTGAGCCCACTGCCGCTCCACGCCAGCCCTTGCTGCGACGCTATCGGCCACGCGGCTGGGACAACAAACGGCCCGCAGGGGAACCAAAATCGACGGGCTGGCATCCCCCGAATCTGCCGCTCAAAAAGGGGAGGAGGCGAGGAGGAGGAGGAGGAGGAGGAGGAGGAGGAGGAGCAGAGGGGGGAGGCCAAAACGAGGATAGGCCGGTACGACCAAAATCGAGGCACTCGCCGTAACGGTTTGGTTGGCCGCCGCTTGGAAGAAAGAAGACGGACGTAAAAATCAACACCTGGCAGAACAGAACTCAAAAAAAATGCTCACTCACGCGTCCGGTGCCCTGGCCGTTGCGCCCCTCCCTCAAGTACTCGCAGAAGGCGCCCGGGATTTCGCTCGTCGCGAAGAGATGGTGTCGCTGGCCGTTGTGAACCCGGTACAGCGCGTACACCGCCACTGCCCAGTTGATAATGGCTTCGTCCGTGCGGAATGTCCCCCCGAAGCCAAGGAAAGCATCCAATGCAAGCGCGCCGGGCGCAAGTTCCACTCCCGCTTTCTGGTGAAAAGGGGTCGCGGACAGTGCGGCATTGTGCAAAATGCGTGATAGTGTCTTCCCCTGCGCCGCACGCAAATCGGCATGGGCAACTGCCACCAAAACGGGTACTCGTGCACCAACTTTTGCAGAAGAGGCGAAGCACTGCCGCCCAGACGCGTGGGAGACAACGAGCTCCCACCATCCGCAGCACGCGCAGGGCAGGCCCCATCCGGCGGCCAGGCAAGATATCCAGAGACCAATGGTTCAGTCTGCGACGCAGGTAAGCACTTGCTTGTGCACGCGGTTGGCCGTTGATCTGGTTGGCTGCGAACCGTTGCCAAGCCGAACGCTGCTCCCAATGCTCTGCGTGCGGTTGTCGGCGACGGACCGCCGCAACCTGCTCGTCGGCCTGCTGAGGTTCATCAAGAAGCTGCCGTTGTGCCACTCGTTCAGCCACGCCACCCGCGCGAGAGACGAGGCGTCTGAGGTGCAAGAAAGCCGCTGCATATGCGCCGCCCGCCGCCGGATCCCAAGGGAGCCGTTGGACTCGTAACGGACCACTCGCGCCTTGGCTGCAACTACAGTTGATTCCACGTCCACGAGCTGGTCTGCGCTGCCCAGAGTGCGGAGTTCACGGGGAACGTCGGTGGTGATCCAATCCACCGGGCCTCGGATTAACCGTCGGCAAGCTGCGGCTTCTGTGCGCGCGAAGTCATGCGGCAGCACTTCTACTTGACCCACAAATAAAAGGACGGATGCAATGTACACTCGGTACGCCTTCAGAGATGCAAGGAGGCCTGCGCCCACTTGTCCCCGCTGACTGGCTCGCGTCAAATTTTTACTGATGGGGGTCTCCCAGGACAGCTGCCCGCGACCAGGGCCGATGTAGACGCCCAGGTACTTCGCCGCCGCGGCCACCACGATGCCTCCCCAGCCAGGCGCACCAGCGCTGATTGCAGCCCGCGCTCGCTCCTCGCCAAATGGATCCGTAGGGACTACCACTGTTTTCTGTACATTCAGCCCCAAACCCGAAATCTGGCGGAACTCTTCGAAACAACTGCTGCAAACGGCCGAGGTGCAACCGCGCGCTCGCCAGCACCAGCGCGAGATCGTCGGCGTAAGCCTGGGCATTGGCGCCCGGAAATCATCGTCGAAGCCGGCGAAGAAGCAAGTCCGAGCAGGCAGCGTAGAGCAACGGCGACAGCGGGCAGCCCTGACGGATTCCTCGGGATAAGCAGAAACCAAGGTAACGCCCACCAGCAACGCCCAACTCGCAGTAGCTGTTCCTGTCGAGGCCGCCAACGAAATTCAGCAGCCAACTGGGCCATCCCAGACGACGAAAGAAGCTCATCAGCAGCTGGTGTTTGATCGAAGGGAAGGCCGCGGCGAAATCGAAGAAGAATGCCATTCCGCCTTGCGTCTGCGCCGCCGTCTCAAGCATGGCTTCGTCCACGTCGACGATATTGCTGATCATGGACCGACCTTGGATAAATCCTCGCTGGTCGTCAATAATCAAAGGGCCTAGCACTGGTTCCAACATGGAACGACAAGCGCTTGCCAAGAGGCGATTGTCCGCGCTAGTGATATTGAGCGGACGCACGCCTCCCGGGTCGAAGAGCTCCTCCCCGTCGCCAGTAACTCCGACAGCTTTCTTCGGAAGGAAAATGAAGATGCTGGAATTGAAGTCGGGGTAGTCGGCGTCGATGTGGGCAGGGGCGTCGTCGCTGCATATTTGATGAAAAGCTTCATAAAGGACGTCCACCGCAATGTCCTCCAGGCACCTCCAGGCCGCATAAGGGATGCCGTCCGGGCCCAGGGCGGAGTTGTTGGATGCCTGAATGGCGCTGCGGAGGTGGCGCTTGCGAAGACGAAGCTGGCGCACGGCTTCGTGCCCAAGGCTGTGCTCTTCCCGGTGGGCCGTGTCCTCGTCCAGCCACTGCTGCAACAGCTCAGCGTTGATGCCTCGGGGTTGTGTGTAGTCGTGTGTGTGGAGTCGTGCTCTCAGCGCTACCCGCTAACTCTCTCGCTGAATTGAATCAGCTAGCCGCGAAATAAAAAGTGCGCAGTCGTGCCCATGCGTACTCACTCTACTTATTATCATATGCCCGCACGGCTCGCCTTGACTCGTCCATAATCTGGTAGAGCACGGCCTCGGCTTCAGCAAGATCGTCACACGTTCGGTTACATTGTTTACTGGCGCGTCTCGCTGACTACAATAGATTACGACGAACTGTTGGTCCGACGCTGCGGAGGGGAACAAGTGTACGTGTGTATGTGTGAGAATGTGCGTGTGCGCTCTTTACCTGCCCCGTTAACATGCACCCGTCAACCGCTTGTCGTTCTGATCTTCGCATCGGCACACGCTCAGTGGTAATCGCTCTTGGCGCGTCCCGTCTTTGCCGTCACTGCGTTGGACAAACCAGCCGCGAAACTAATAAAGAGTGTGTGTGTGTGTGTGTGTGCGTGCGTGCGTGCGTGCGTGCGTGTGTGTGTGTGTGTTTGTGTGTGAGAGAGAGTGCGTGCGTGTGAATGTGTGTGTGTGTCTGTGCGCATGTGCGTGCGCGTGCGCGTGCGCGTACGCGTACGCGTACGTGTACGTGTACGTGTACGTGTACGTGTGCGTGTACGTTTACGTGTACGTGTGGGTATGTGTGTGTGTGTGCGGGTGTGGTTATGCGTATGCGTTTCGGGCATTCCCTCTACCTCGATGGCGTGTGCACCTCTGGCAAACTTCCGACAGCCCCCGCATACCTCCGACAGCATCCGAACGCACCAGAACAACCGAAGCGTTCCGAACACCTCCACAAGTCACCTCGCTGACAAGCATGTCCGGAAACCTCAACAAAAACGCTCGAGACCTGGCCCGAAACTCCGAGAACTGTTTGAAATAGCATCATCCGCGCACACCTCCGAAGCCCCACCAGAACCTCCGCACACCTCGGGAGACTGCCCGCCTCCAGCTCGAGGTCCCGCACGTATCGGAAGAGGGACTGGTTGCGCATGAGGGCGCGCATGGGGACGTCCTTCGGGCGTCCGCTGACAAGGGGAGAGACGTGCTCTTGCTTTTCTTTGGGACGCCCGAAAAGGGTCAATACTAAACTGGGTACGATGCCCAATAACATGTTGTCCCAAACCGACGGCGGCCGCTGTTGGGCAGGCGGCCTTCTGTCTCAAGTGGACAACGACCGCGGCGACGCCTACCGCGAATCCTGTTCACAATGAACCAGGTGCTGTTGGACTCTGTACGCGTTGTTTCCGCACCCCTTTCGACCTTACCGATATCTGGCTCCCGAGATTTGATTCCAGGGCGCAGGCGGCGGCGGAACGGCGGCAGAGCGGCGGCTGAGGGGAGGCCCGCTGGCCGTGCCCCCCTGGCGCCGTCGAGTGCCGCGGGGAGGCGGGGAAAAGAAACCTTCCCTGCACCCTCCCCGCACCCTCCATGCACCTTCCCTGCACCCTCCCAGCACCTTCCGCGCGGGAGGCACCTTCCCTGCACATTTTTGGGCCCGCGGCAGCAGCTTATGGGGCCATGTAGGGGCCCTTCCCTGCAATCCTCTCGACGGCCCGCCGTCCACTCCCGGACGGCCCCCGACAGAATCAGTTTTTTCTCATAACGTCGACCCCCAGGAGGTCTCGACCCATTCCACGGAACTGGCTGTTCATCCCGATTCGTCTATCTTTTGACGGTCCCGAGGCCCGGTGAAGGCCCCCTGGAGGCCGACAGTCGCGAAAACCTTCCGTCGTGATTGTGGTCCTTGACTCGAGGGTATCTGGGGGCCTCAGGATTCGTTGCCCTCCCGTTGGCGTCCGCCCGAGTCCTGAGCCTCAAGCTGCTGCAGCATCTCCCGCTGGTCCTCTCGAGTGAGGGCCAGAGGGTCAGAGATCACGGTCACGGCAACGGCGGCGCGCAGAGAGCCAGGCCGACGGAGGCAGGAGGGAAGTGCAGGAAGGAGGGGGCGCGCTTGCACGCAACGTTAGCCTCCTGCTGCTCCTGCTCCTCCTGCTCCTGCTCCTGCTCCTCCTCCTCCTCCTCTGCTCCTACTCCTCCGCCTCCTCCTGTCCTCCTCCTCCTCCTCCCTTTTCTCCTCCTCCTCCTTTTCCCCCTCCTTTCCTCCTCCTCCTCCTCCTCCTCCTCCCCCTCCTCCTCCTCCTCCTCCTCCCCCTCCTCCCCCTCCTCCTCCTCCTTCTCCTCCTCCTCCTGCTTCCCCTCCTCCTCCCCTCCCCCATCCCTTTTCCATATGAATAACACCTCCCTGTCGCACCCCCCGACGTGTTGGCAGGGCGGGCTGGGCGTTTCGCCTGCGACTTTCTCACCATGTCTGATCCTGGGGCGTGACATTTTCAGCAGCTTCAAGGATGGAGGGCGGGTGGTTTAAAACATGTGGCTCTCGCTTTAGCGCCGCGCACATTCGTTCCAGCGTGCAACAATCTCAAACATGGAGGGCTGGCCGTTTTCAGAATGTGGTTCTCGCCTCAGGGCCGCGCACATTCGTCTTAAAAGATAGTCGAAGTCCGCAGCAGCTTCAAGGATGGAGGGCGGCTCCTTTGGGACGTTTGGCTCTCGCATTAGCACCGCGCGCATTTGTGTTGAAACGCTGCAGCAGTTTTGAGGGTTCTGTGGTTGAAGCCCCAGGAATGGCACTTTGTTGGAGAAGAGGGAGGAAAAGGCGAAAGGGAGACCTCGCACACGCCTGAACATTGTCCAACTCGTGCTGGGGTCGACAAGCAGCCCTGCCGCAGGACCGTCATCGCCCTGTCCTCCCGAGCGAGACCTGCAGGAAGCCATATGGCGACTGATACCGATTGCCCACAAAACGAATCGGGCCGCCATTGCATACATGGTGTAATACCCCATGCCGCCTGGCCAAAACAGCCACTACCGTAAACGCAACACAATATTATGGGATAGTGGAGGGAAAGAGGAGGAGGCAGAGGGAGAAGAGGAGGGGGGACAAGAATACTGGATGAAGCGGTGCGCACCAGAAAGTGTGAGACAGGGGGGAACAGGGCAGGAGATACGAGCAATTCAAACAATGGGACTGGAAGGCTCACACCCTGAGGGACGCGTGCACTGCCTGCTGGAGAAAGCGGGGAAGGGCCTGGGAGTGCGGAAGGGCTGGTGCACCCAGACGTGATTCGCTGCCTGATGCGGGCGCCCGCTGGGGAGGACGAATCCTGCCCCCTGCGGAAGACAACGGCAATTGAATCCGAGGAAGAGGAAAAGGAAGAGGAGGAAGAAGAGGACGGGGGGAGCAGGGAACGGACTACAATGATATGAAAAGAGCACAAGCTCGTATCACAGCGACGTGGGCACGACTGCCCCGGATATTACATATAACTCAAAAGTGGTAGCCACTGGTGCGCCGAAAAACGATGCAACAAAACATGCATGCGGCAACGCGTGTGGCTGCTAGCTGTCCTGGCGGGCTCTCTTTGAAAGTAAGTTTAGCGAGATGTTGGGCGTGAGAATGGCCAGAGACCGCGTCTCGGACAAACCCGCGGAAAGCGTCGGCCCCGTCCGTGGCGCGGAGGCCGTGTCTCGCTGCGTTGTGCGTTCTGTACAACGCATGCACACCTATCGCCGGAAGCGCTGCCGCCGTGGCCCTGGCGCTGCCGTCCTGGCAGTGCGCTGGGAGGGAGCGCTCGTGCGGGCGGAGGCCCTGAAACTCACCGAGGCACTGTTCTGCCCGGGGGCCGGCCAAGGCCGAGGCACTGCCAGCAGAGGGTACGGAAGGGGCCACAAATGGCGTAAGGCTGAAGGCTGTCTTCCCACGCGGGCACCTGAAGAGGCACCCCCCCAGGAATGGCATGCTGGCGCGGTCTAGGATTGTCCGGACGCAGCAGCCACATTGAGTCGCGGTGCTGATGTCCCAGGAACGGTGTGCTGGCACGGTTTAGAACAGTCATGCTGCAACTGTCACGTCGATTTGCGGCATTGAAGTCCCAGGACTGGTGTTTTGGTACGATTAGGGTCCCCAAACGGTTGTCTTCCCATGGGGTACTTCCCGCAAGGAAGATACATTCTTGCAATCAGAGATCTGTGAAGAGTGAACTTTGACTAAGGGTTGACTGCAGCATCGTTGATGCGTCTCGGGTTTGCACTGGTCCTCCTCCTCCTCCTCCTCCTCCTCCTCCTCCTCCTCGTCCTCCTGCCTTTGTCGCCGCGGCTGGGCGCGGCTCGGACAACGGGTCATGATTGTGCCCGGGGATGGTCTGGGGACAAGTTCGGAGCGGATTCTGGCGGAGATGGGGAATGAGGAGAGAGCGACGGAATAGGGAGGAGGGAGAAATGAGGATAGAGTTGGTAGGAGGGAGACAGGGGGATGGAGGAGAGAGGGAAGGAGGAGGGAGGAAGGACGATTGGGGGAGCGAGGAGGGAGGATTCAGGCTCCTCGAGGGAGGTCTTCGGGTGTCCCTGGAAATCCCAAGAGGGCCCCGGAGGCCTCTGGCGGCGTGGCAGGCGTGGCTTACACCTAATCTCCCCTGCCGCGGGGGGAATTCGCACACTCTGCCTCCTTCTCCTCCTTCTCCTCCTCCTCCTCCTCCTCCTCTTCCTCCTCCTCCTCGAAATCGAAACCTAGACCTCTCCCAGAGCGCGCTTCGATCAAGCTCCCGGAGCGGATCCAGCCGGTGACGACGAAGACCCTCCCAGAGGTCCAAAGGGCGAGAGAAACGGCCAAATTCCCCCCTGCCTCCCTCCTCGCTCCTGCGGACGACCCCTCCCTCCATCTTGGGCAGGCACTGTCTCTGGGAGTCTCTCTGAAGGTCTCCAGAGTCCTCCGCGGAGGTTCTCCTGGAGTCTTCAGAAGCCCCTTGAAGACAAAACGAGGAGCCCAACCCGGGCGGTCTCAACACCCTGGCGCCGCCTCCAGCGGTGCTGAGACCGCCTCAGGCTACTCGGGGGGCCTGTTGAGGCCAGCTAGGACTCCCCTGGGGGCCTGGTGAGGTCAGCCGCGACTACCTGTGGGATGTCTGTGCGCAACCCGAAGCCTTACCAAACCTCGACATTCGATCCTCCTCACGTCCTCCCTGCCTCGTCCCCTGCGGCTCCTTGTGGACCGCCAGCAGCTCCGTCACCGTGGGGACCGGGCGCATCCTTCCAGCGATCACCTGCTCCAGGTGGACGGAGAAGCAGAAGGAGGAGGAGGAGGAGGACAAGGGGGAGAAGGGGGAGGAGGATATGGAGGAAGGGGAAGAGGACCAGGAGCAGGAGGAGATCATCGGGGCCATGCTATCGCCCAAGACCAAGCGCTTGCGGCCGAAGATGTGAGAGTTGCGAACGATGTGTCTCGCGGTGGGGACCAGCGAGCGGGCGTCCAAAACCACTTCTGGGCCTCCGTGCGGGACCATTTCTGGGAAATACCGAGGGACCGGTCGTCGCCACAGATGGGCTCGGGGACCTCGGGGAAAGGGGCCCCGGGGATCTCGGAGCCCCAGGGAGAGGCGGCCACGCCGCCGCGGACTGAGACTTCCAGAGCCGAAGCCCGCAGCTTGAGGAGGGCCTCGCGGGCCGCCGAGTAGCGCGCGCGCTCCTGGGCCGCGGCCGCACTGCGGGCGCCCCTGACCACGCCGGGGGCCTGCCAGGACGCGTCGGCACAGTGCGCTGTCGGGGGCCAGGCGGCGTTGGAGTCGCGGAAAGCGAGCGCGATGATGGGGCTCGCCAACGAAGTTCACGCTTCGCGGATTTCCAGAGCGGGGGCGCGCAATGACCAGCGGCCGCAATAAAGGCATAAGAGGCCTGCAGGAATGATGACATGTCCCGCCGCAGCCGAGCGCGTGACGCGAAGTGCGACGCGACGACCCCAGCCAAATCCCAAGGCGAAATTCACGTTCGCCACGGCCAGACACCCAAGACGGACACGCCAGCCTACTCGGCGATTGACCCCAATCGTCGAGGCGCCAAAGTCAATCGCCCAGTCCAGAACGCCCAGGCCAGCCAACGCCGTCGAGCCGCGAGGGCGGATGCCAGCGTCTCGGAGGCTCCGATCGACGGACTCGGTCACGGCGAAGGCGGGGCCGCTGGAGGCCCCCAGGGCGACGAAATCATCGACGCACTCGGCGCGCAGCACCTGGCTAGAAGAGCGAACCAGGCGGACGGGAAGATGAGCATCGTCGAAGGCTAGACGCGGGAAACTAAGGCGTTGGCGCGGGCTCGGAACTCCATGGTCCGCTGACATATCCAGAAGACTGCGCGTCCAGTCCATGGGGGCGGCGGTAAAACGCGGCTCGACGCAATCGCGCGCCCGCAAGCGGGCCCCCTGGCCGTCGGCGGCGAGGCCCAGGACCCCGGCCCGAATCTGTGGGAGACCAAAATGCTGCCTGGAAGCCAGAGGTCAGTTACCTGTAGAAATCACTATTGATATGTATCCCCCCCCCCCACGTAGACAGGACCCTATCCGTCGACCTCCAGATCCGAGAACGCCGAGCCCGTGGCCGAGTCAACGCGCGGGGGATCTCCGAAGTGCTCTCCAGCCTCGCGCCCGCCCAGGCTGAGTCGGAGATCTCCACCCTTCGTCGCGACGAAAAAGACTCCAGCGCGAGACGTGCGCCCCTGTTGCCGCGCCATTGGGCTCGAAGCCTTGCGACGGTGAAGAAACTGCGCATACAGCCGGTGATGTTAGCGGAGATGCGGTTCTTTGTAGACTCGGGGAGCAGAGGGAAAAGTATCTGCATTAGTTGAAACAGGACGTCACAGCGCATTCAGCTCATCAACTATGGCGCAGCCGACCGGGCCGCCCAGCGGCGCGATCCCTGTGGGCGACGCGACTACCCGCGAGGAGGGAGGGCAATTCGGTCGATTTTAGCCTAGCTGATGGGAACCACGGTGCTGCTCACCTGGTGGTAGCCGGGGTTGATGCGGAGCTCTTGTAAGGCACCCGCGGAGGTCAGGTCTTCGGGGGGCTCGCCGAAACGATGAACAGCTCGGTGGACATGATCCAAGCGCGCTTCCTGGGCAATCGATATCTCATGATGGTGCCCAACATCACGCGCACCGTGGAGCTCAGTCAAAGCCGACGCCGCCTCGGAAACCAAGGACTCTGACTGACGGTGGACCACGAGGGCACGCCCGCACCACGGGACCAGGTGTCACGCTGCGGCGGGGAGAAGAGACAGAGATGGGACAGGGGCACAGAGATGCGAGTGCTGAATCCTCTGATGGCAGAAGATCGAAGCTCGCGTGCCCCAGCGAGCCTAGCCCTCAGAAAGTTGCACAGCGGGAGCCGAGGGAGGCCGCCGCGGGCGCCAGGGTCCCCCGAGCCCTGGTCCGCACCTGCCTTTTCTTCGCGGGCCTTGCGGACCTGATTGAGGCTGTTGGCGTCGCGCTCCAACTGCTTGCCAACCCACTCGACGAGAGCGGGACACACCATCGCCTCTCCACTGACACGCTGCCCACGGAAGGCATCAAACTCGTCCAGGCAGCCGAAAGCGCCAACTGCTCCACCACGGCCGCGTCCGCAGCCCTTCTTGCCGCGGCCGCCGGCGCCTTCGCCTGCCTCGCCCCTGGCGCCCGAGGTGCTGTCGTGCTTCGAGTGGGCGCGCTCGATGAGATGCACCTCGCGCATCAGGGCCTGGACGCCTCGTCCGCTGGCCATTCGACGAGATCACAGCCAAGAGTCGAGCATCACCTGCGGCCTCGTAGCCCCAGAACTCCTGCACGAGGTCGGAGCGGATCCGTCGCACGAGCAGGGCGCCGTGGGTCGGTTTCGTGTGCATGCCGATGTCACCGGTCAGGACCTCGGTGCCATTCGCGGCGATGGCCGAGACGCGGGGCCCGAAAGCGGTGACGGTGGTCTCGACCGTGACCAGCTTGAAGTAGGGCACGGGCGCGGCGACAGCGACCAGTGGTGCTGCCAGCGGGGCCCCCGCCGCACGGACGGCAGCTGGCGCTCCCGCAGGCGCGGCTGCCAAGGCGTCAAGGCCCATTGGCCCAAGCGGCGGTGCCGCGGCGGCGACGGGGGCGGCAAGGCCCGCCGCCCCGAAACCGAGGGGCGCGGCCGAGGCCGGCGCGAGGGGCCGCGCCGCCAGCCCCCCCGGAAAGCGCGGCGGCCACCACGGCGGCCTCAGCGGCGGGGGCTGGCCACTCCGAGCGGACCGGGCTGCCCGTGGCAGGCATCACGGCAGGCTGCCCCGCGGCCTGGTCGCGCGGGCGATACACGCGGCGTCGCAGTGGGTCACAGCTGCCGCCACCAGCGCCGCCAGCGCCGCGGCGACGGGCTCCCAGTCGAACCCGTGGACGCGGTTCCGGGGGACGCGGGGCGGCGGCGGACGGTGCACGTCGGACCAACGCCACGCCTCGATGTCCCGGGAGCCGCCTGGAGAGGTCGATCTGCTCAGGATCTCCATCAGGTGAGACTCCGATGACCTCGTCGACATCAGTCGCTCGAGTCGCCGACGAGGCCAGCACCCCGACAACGCGCCGCAGATGGTACAGGTCCTCGCCCTGGTAGCGCAGCCACAGCCAAGGCCTCAGGACCGGCGCCGGCGCCGCGGCCGCCATCGGCGCTGCGGCACGAGCATCTGCAGCACAAGTGCCAAAACGCGAGGACGCAGCCCAAGGCGCATGCTGCGGCCCCCGCTCCGCCCGCAGCGCCCACCAAGAGGAGCACGGTGCCGCTGAGCCAATTGCGAGCTGACGGGATGGGCAGCGGAGCCTCTGGGCACACTGCCCCTGGAGCCCCGGAGAAGAGGCTGGGCACGAAGAGGATGCGCAGCGCACCTCTGGGCACCAGCGTGCCGTACACAGCGTCGGGGCAGCGGGGACAGGAGCCGAGCCACGCGAAGGTCGCCTGCCCAGCCCACCGAGCGACGTCCAAGGGCAGGTCGGGCATGCACCAGGCCTGCGCGTTGCCGTGCCCCCTTCAAGGCTTGAGCCCCGCGGTTGCGGCAGGTCGGCAGACGCATCAACTCACTTCAAGCAAGCCTGTCCTGAAGGACCGAAGGAGGAGGACAAACTAGGTGGTGCGTTCGCCTCATATCAGACATCCTAACCCTCCCACCCTTCCCTCCCAATGGCGCTGATTTGTTTCTCTATCCGCCGACGCGTGTCATAGCGGATCTGGAGCGGAAAAAAGAACCCCATCGCTTCTATACGCAATCGGAAAGGGGGAGCTGCGTATATTGGAGGAGGTGGCGGATGAGGACGAGGATTAGTTTTTCAAGAAAAAGAGGAGGACGAGGAGGAGGAGGAGTAGGAGGAGGAAGGAATAAAGAGGAGTACGAGGAGGAGCAGCAGCAGCAGAAGCAGGAATGGGAGAAGCTGGAGGAGCAGGATGACCAGGAGAGGGCGGGAGAGGGGTGACAGGATCGTGGCGACATCGTAACGAGCTTGAAGGACGAGAAGCGCGGAAATGAGGCCAGCGCTGCAGCGGGAGAACTATGTTGAAGGACCGATGACGCCTGGGTTGCAAAACAACATAAGGAAGCACACACAACGGTTGAACCCTGTTGTAGAAAGGATCCATATGCGGAGGGGGCCGAATATCCTCGGGACAAAGGCAGTGGAGAGAGGAGAGTAGTTAGTACTCATCATGTGAAGGTGTGGATGAGGGGGGGAGGAGGAGGAGGAGGAGGAGGAGGAGGAGGAGGAGGAGAGGAGGAGGAGGAGGGAGGAGGAGGAGGAGGAGGAGGAAGAGAGGAGGAGGAGAAGGAGAAGGAAAAGGCGGAGGAAGAGAAGGAGGAGGAGGAGGAGAAGGCGGAGGAGGAGGAGGAGGAGGAGGAGGAGGAGGAGGAGGAGAGGGAGGATGACCTGCTTCAGCGGCACGGGGAAGGGGTTCTGGATAAACGACTGTAACTCCTCGTGCGCCTCCGCCTTCAGGGCGTCAACCCTCCTCAGCTCCTTCTGGCGCCTCAAGGACTCCTTCGCCATCTGAGCCTGCAAGCGTTTCTGGTTCAGAAAGTGCTGGGCGTCGCTAAGCTGCTGCTTCTCGAGTCTCATCTTCTCCTCCCTGTCTTTCTTGCGCTGACGGGCTGCTTCCTGATTCTCCTCCACTATCCTCTCCTCCTCGTGGTGCTCCTCGATTATTTCCTGAATCTTGGCGTTGGTTCGCTCCAGCCACTCACTGTTCCTCTTCACGATCGCAGCGTTGCGCTTGTTCACGAGCCTGTCGAGCTCCGACTTCTTCTGTGCGCGGATCTCCGCCTGCTTCTGCAGCAGTCTCAGCCTCTCCTGCAGCCTTGTCTGTTCCAGCATCTCGTACTCCTTCTTGAGGTTTTCCAGCTGCTCCCTCTTCGCCTCTTCCTCCTCCTGCTGCTTGCGCTTGAAGTCGTTCTCCCTGGCGCGGATGGCAGCATCTCGCCTCAGCCTCTTCAGCTCCTCGTCGTCCATGCTCTCGGGGATCATCGTCGCAGCTTGTCGGACCTACTCGTGATGCGGAGTGCGCAGCCGATGGCTCCAGCCGAAACGAGCTCAACATACACATTGTCCTTCTCCTGTCGCCTCCTCCTCATCCGCCTTTTCGCCGCCTTCCTCCTCCACTCCTCCTTCTTGCTCCTTCATGTGTCCGATGTTATTTACCCCTTTCTCCGCCTCTTCCTGCTCCTTCTCCTCCTCCTTCTCCTCCTCCTCCTCCTCCTCCTCCTCTTACTTCTTCCTTGCTCATTTTGTCTGCCCCCTCTCCCCCTCCTTCCCTCCTCTTCCTCAGCATCCTTTCATCATTCCTCCCCGTCCCTGTCCTCTTTCACATCCTTTTGCTTCCTCCTCCTCCTCCTGATCCTCCTTCTCCGCTGCTGACTACTGTGACTACTTAAAAAGCAGCTAGAACGTATGAACATTCATTTACTTATGAAGTCACGCATGTACTATAAGAAGGATGTATTCGGCGCCCTCGATCGATTCATTATCATCCTTGGCAAGCTTCCAGGAGCCCCCTGCCCCCCCCTTAGAGACCCATGTCAAGACCCTCTAGACCTGACGACATCGCCTCACGGGCCCACCATGGAGGCGAGGGCCCCGTTCTGTACAGGAGCTGCCCCGTCACCTCCAGCCGGATGGGATGAGGAATGCGCCGAGGTAGGGTCGCACAACACTATAGCCCACTGTGCGCCGGAGTCGGGGCAGGCCGCAAGTTTCTGTGCCTGCCGGTTCCCCTTCTTCGAGATGGGGTGGCTGAGGCGGTGGAGGGCGAGGTAGGGTCACAGAGTCCAAGAAGGGTGTCCAGCGAGAGCACCGTTTTGTGAAAAGGAGCCGCCCTGCATCCGGAAAAAGCGGCTTAACAAGTCTGCAGCTTTGGCACTGCAAACCAAAGTCGTCTCAAGCAGCGCCCTGTTCTGAAAAGGAACCGCCATCCACCGGTGTAGCTGCGGCCCAAAACTGAGGGTCTGGCCACCGACATCGAAGGAATCAGAAACGAGAGCCCCATTTAGAAATGGACCCACCCATAACCCGCTGGAAGCTATTCTGACGAATGTGCGCGGCGCTGAGGAGAGATCCACATTGTAAAAACGATCCGCTCTCCATCCGTCTGTTCTGTTGCAGTTTCTAGCTTCGAATCGCAAGCGGTGAAGAGTCTCAACTCGCCCTTCCGACACGTCTGGTTGTGCGACGGAGGGGGACCATTGTAGGGAAACGAGATGGAGGAGGGATTGGGGGCGCAGGGAGAACAGGATGAGGGAGGAACGATCAGGGGCTGACTGGGTGGAGAGGGAGGAACAGCAGCAGCCCCACCAGGAAAAGAGTCATGAGCAGGATCAGGGTCAGGCGCAGGAGAGAGGGCATGTTATGATATGATAACTATGCGCTTGTGAGGCATGGTCTTCAACACCTCGGCAGACCAGGTCGCCTCACTTTCAGCACCTGGAGTCCAGCCCCAGAAGAGGAGCAAGAGGAGGAAGCAGGAGCCGGAGCAGGACACGACGAGGGCGGGAGGGAGAAAGCGAGAACCAACGTGAGGCCATTTCTCCGAGCCCACGCCCGCCAGCCCGTCGGTGCCAGGGGGCGCCAATCATCCGCCTCACCGATCCCTGGCAGCAAGGTCCATCCTCCTGGGCCCAGGATGGGCACTCGTTTCCCCGATCCCGGAAACCCTGAATCCAACCATGCTGGCGTCTCGCTTGTACTCCCCCGCCTAAACCGGAACGACATGATAATCAAATTTCGAGGGGCCCCAGCGCGGATCCAAGAAATCCGCGCGGAGCTCCGAAAGTTCATGTTTGTGACATTGGAGCGTGGAGTCAGGGTTTCTGGGGTCGGGCAAATATGTGCCGATCTTGGGCCTGGGAGGATGGACCTCCGTACCCGGGATCGGTGAGCTCCGAAAATTTATGTTTATGCCATTTGTTTTTCCTCGACGGCCTTCCGCTGGCCTGCCGGCTTCCGCTAGAGGCGAGGACGCTCCGACGGCGAGGCCCTCTCCTAGAGCGGCCCCGTGTGCATCCCTGGCCAGGCCAGGATGGGCGGAGGCACCGATCGCTCCGACCCAGGGTGGGCCACGGCCAAGATCGGTGAGGTGGACTATCGACGCCCCCCCCGCAGGTCAGGGAGGGCTTCCCCCCAACCCTCTCCCCGGAGGATCGAGAATCTCCAGGGTGAAAGTCGGACCTCAATTCTGAAAGCACATGTTCTTCCATCCGCGTGTCCCCTCCAGACCCCCCCCCCTCCCAAACATTTCCGACCTCGTCTCTAGACGCCGCCAAGTTCTTCCATTCTGGAGGCACCTATTTTTCTCCAGGGCAGCGGTAAAAGGGGGACTCGCGCAGAGGGGGAACATCGACCTGGAATCGGCGATGCATCGCCGATAGATCCGCGATAGGCCCCTTAGCCCTGAGAACACATCTGCACGTTCCTGGGCGGGGTGGTGCTCTCAGACCCTTCTTGGCGATCAGTGGGCGATCGGGGGTAGATGCATCACCCCCTGAGCTTCTCCCCCCCCCCTGTCGTTGCCCCTGATAAAGAGGCTCGACCCCTCAAGAGCTCGATCCTCTGGGTCTCCTCAGGCGCGTTTCGCGCAGAGCGCCAGGTCGTGGACGGTGCGGCAGGCGATGCCGCAGAAGCGGCCGCCGCAGAGTGTGCAGGCATACCTCGAGAGGGCGCCGGCCTTCTATCTGTACACCCACTCACTCTGGCCAGGCCATCATCATCATCATCATCATCATCATCATCATCATCATCATCATCATCATCAGCAGCAGCAGCATCATCGTCGTCGTCGCCATCATCATCAGCATCATCATCATCATATCATCAGAGCTCACTTTTTCACAATGCAGGGACAATTCTGACAAAAGCCTCGACACGTCTAGGCCAAATGTTAAAATCAACAGAAAGCAACTCTCATTCCTCCCAGGGCGGTGAGGGCGGGAGCCGAAAACAGGCTATGGAGAGCGAGGGAGAAGGAGCAGAGTGAGAGATATAACAGCCGAACTTTAAACCCTTGGGTCTTGAGCAGGTGGTACAAAAACACGGGGACATCACTACGCCCGAATAGTTCAGCTCAAACCGTTCAAACACATATAGAACCCACATTTTCACTACGCAGGGACAATTCGGACGAAAGCCTCGGAACGTCTAGGCCAGAGGCTACACTCAACAGAAAGCGACTTTCACTCCTCCCCGAGTTTCCCGAATTCGGGAGTTCTCTAGGTATGGTTAGGGGGCGATACTACTCGAACCACAGGCAGTAACAGTTGAGGCCGTAGGAGCCCTGACGATACAGTGAACGAGTTCTGGCGGGCACGCGGCAGCGGGGCGAGTGCGGGCGCTTCCTTCGAGCTGGAGGTGCGGACGCCCCGTTTGGGAACACAGACCGCGAGTCCGAGTCCCTCTGCATGTCCTGCACACTTTGCGCAGGTCCTCTTCCACGAGACAGAACATTAGGCGAGTGGGCTTCTTGCTGTTTGCTCGAAAAACTGACGCCCATCCAGTTTGACAAGGAGCACTCCAGCCTGATAAGCGAGCGATCTTATTTCCCGCGTGCGCCACAGCCTCGAGGCGAGTGGATGCTCGAGGATTGCGGGAGTCTTGGCTTGAAGAAAAAAAGCAGATAGAGCGAGAGCGGCAAGGGCCAGACGATTATCATGCTCTAATTTGTTTGCGTCTTCTGGAGACAGCATCCCTTTTGAAAGGCCCCGCGGCAGGTCACTGGTTCTTTTCTCGGCAGTCCTATGGCGTGCGATCGAGAAAATCTGGCACGAAGGGGCCAGGGAGGCGGCGAGAATGCGCTTGCGTTGGCCATCCCGTCTGATGGCGCGAATGGCCCGTTGGCTGAGCAGGTCCTGTCGGGCCGGGTCGCGGAGCGCATCCCAGCTCCTGGCCCTGAAACCTAAGGCTTCGCACGTTTTAGAAATTCACCTACTGCCCGAGAAAAAGATCAGCCAAATGCTGCCCTCTCAAGCGTGGGAAACACTGAGCTGGCAAGCGATTGGAGCGGCTCCCGCGGCAAGACTGACTCAAGAGGCTGCGCCGGCCTGCCGAGCCCCCGCGCTTGTGGGCGGCTGTGCTGGATGGGGCAGGCCCAGAAGGTTCCTCTGCAAGTATGTCTCGCACGCCTCGCGCAGCCTCCTCTGCTCCTCTGGTACTTTCCGTGATCGGCGCTCTGGCGGCTGCCGTGCTCGCAGCGGCGCATGCTGTTGGCCTGGGCCCAGCAACCCCGTCTCCTCGCTTCCTCCAGCGTGCGGTTCCGCTTGCAGACATCGATGCTCGCGCCCGGATGGCGGAGCTGGCGCAGCGCCAGCCCCCCGGCTCCACCCTCGGCCGCCGCCAGCTTCAGCTCGGCAGCCAGGTCGGGGCGCCTGCAAGGCCAGAGCCCCCCTGTCCCGCGCAGGAGGGCGAAGGCCAGCCCCAGTCCGCACGGGTAGCTAAAATCCAGCAGGCGCACCTCGGCGTAGAGGTTCATTTTTTTGGACGCCCGAAATGAGTACCGAAAAATGGGCACAATGCCCAACCGCAAATGTTGTCCCAAACCAACAGCGGCCGCTGTTGGGCGGGTGGCCTCCTGTCTCGAATTGACGCAGGCCGCGGGAGCGTGGACAGCGAATCTGGTTCAAAATGAACAAGATCCGCTGTTGGGCATTGTGCCCATTCTTTCAGTACCCATTTCGTGCGCGCAGAGTCTTGCTCGGCCGCGCCTCTTCGCGCGGGCGCGCCAGCAGGCCTGGGCAGTCGGCGACCCCGCGCGCCGGCGGCGCCAGGTCGCACCCCCGCGCCGCCAGCAAGGAAGAGGGCCGAGAATAGGCTGACAACCCGACCGCGACGAAGAGGGTCATCGCCAACAGCCCCTTCTCCACCAGGCGCCGCATCACGGCCGACCAGACCGCCAGGGGGGGAGCTCGGCGAGCGCGCGAGAAGGTCAGCCGGCGCCGCGCCTTGAGGGCGCGCCTTGTCCATGGCGGGCCCCGACCCCCTTTGCGGCCGAACTCTGGGAGGCGGTCCACCAAGGCTGCTCCAGCCTGCTCCCCGAGGCTGCACTGTTCGCCGTCCAAGTGCATCGCGATGAAGCAGTCGCGCGCCTGGCTGCCCAGGTCCTCGTCCGAGAGCGCCGTCACCTCGGCGTCGGACAGGCCCGAGTGCACGAAGAACCCTCGAGGCACTTGGCATGCCGAGCCCGCGCCCGCGCCGTCGCAACAAGGCGCCCCAGCAGAGTCGGCCCCCCAGCCGCGGCGTCCACGATGAGGTCGGCGCATATGGCGAAGCCCGTCGGCGGCGGCGGCAGGCCTGGAAGCGGCGAGAGCGCCGCCGTGCGGCCGTTACGTTGCCTCCACGAGACTGTCGGAGCCGCTCCAATCGCGGACCCCCCCCCTCCGCCCGCCTCGCTGCCTCCGGCGCGCCCGCCTCGGCGTGACTCTCCAGCGTCGCCCCCGCGGCCCTCGGCTCGGCGCGGCCTCGCCCGCCTCGCTGCCGGAGCGGGGGCCGGCGGGGTCAGGGCCCGCGCGCTCCGCGCTCCAGCCGCTGGCGGCTGCCCGCTGGGAGGCGGCGCCCTCGACGCGCGGGCCGTCTGCGGTCTCCGCGCCGGACCTGCGACTGGCGCGGCGCCGGGGGCCGCGCGGCGAGCAGCTGGCGCCGTCAGGGCGCGGGCCCGCTCCATTTGCGTCGCGCCCTCCCCGAATGGGACTGGGGGCGATGCCAGACTGGTTGGGGCCAAAACGACTACTCGCAGCGGCGCGGGGGGCCGTGCTAAACCGCGCTGCTGATCCGAGACAACTGTGAGTAGCTTAGAAGAGACTTCGGAATGATCTCGGCTTCCGGCATCGCTCTGGTTGAACTCCGAGGGGATGCAACGGGAACAAGGGGCGATGCCGAAGGCGAGACCGTGAGCACTCAACCTCCCCACCCACCAGGAATTTTTAATCGTGGCTACGGGGCCGAGAAAACGCGAAGACCACGGCCATATTGTCTAACAGAAACAACCGCCTAACGCAACTGCCGCAGCGAGTCCTGGAGATGCGCTGGACGGCCTGGACAAGGGCCCGGGCCTCAATAATCAAGATGCCCTCCTCCAGAGCCCAGACCCCCTTCCGGGCCGTCTTCCAAGCGGGCCAACGGAGAAGCGGCCGAGCGACCTCGGGGACATCCGCCGCGACCTCCCAATCGTTCTCGAGACCTGGCTCGGGGCGGCTTGGAAGGTCTACCTCGGGCCCGTCCCGCTCGAGCAGGCCACTCCCCCAGACTTCGCTCTCGTCGCGGGCGGAAGGGGCGGGCCAAGGTCGAGGCCGACGCGCGGGCCGAGCGAGGACCGACGCGTCGGAAGCAAGACCGCTCGCAGAAGCGGTCGACGCTGGCAACGTCGGCGGGCCCCCAGAAATCCTGAGCGATTGCCCAGTCAACGAGGCTGACATCGGCTTCTAGGACGCACGGTTTCCAAGGGGGCCACCAGTCGCGGCCCAGACAAAACTCACCGGGAGGCCCCGAGCTCCTGGGCGACCTCGGGCCAAAGGGGGGGCACCACCAGGTACTGGGCTGAAATAAACTTATAGACCACATGGAAGATCGCTGAACTCCCTCCCTCTCGCAGCCAGACTGCAAAACGCGCACCCCGCTGCGTCGGCGACGTGCCGGCAGTCCTGAGAGGCCGCGCTCGAGCTTCCAATGCACAGCGGGCGCGATGCCTGACCGATGGTTCTTCCCGTCTGGCTCCGCCCCGAGCGCCTCGCCGAAGCCGGCGCGCGTCTCCATTTTGCGCAGGGCGAGGCCGACGGGCTCGAAGATGTCACTCCATTCCGACATCTTCTGCTCGCTGAGGGCCTGATCGACGGGCACGGCCCCCAAATTGTCAACGTGCATGCACGCTCCAGCAGCCCCCCTCTCGGCCGCCCTCAAGACGAAAGCATTGGTCTGGTCCTGGATCAGGCACTAACCCCAACCAGCAGGTGAGGGCCGCTGGAGAGTCACGCTCCAGCACACCCAGCCCTCGTTAGCGGTCTGGGCGAGGTAGAGCGACCAAGTGAACCTCCTCGGCAGCGCCGCCGCGCAGGGCCTCACCTCAGCGCTCAGCCCCAGTCCGTCCGGCAGGCCCGGCACCTCCAGGCCACTGTAGACATGGGCGGGCGCGCCAGGCAGGCAGGAAAAGCGCCCCGGCCCCCTCCGCGCCCTCACGCGGTAGACAAGTCCTTCACGTCGGCGGTCGCCACGCACGCCGCGAAGGCGCCCAGCAGCCGCTGGCCCTCGACGGAGGTGGGCGACGCGCCTGGCGGCAGCTCGACCTCGAGTCGGCCAAAGCCCTCACTGCTCAACAGCTTCACAACTTGCGGGGCTCTGCAGTGCCCGCAGCTACGCCGAGCGTCCACAATCATCCTCAGAGCCTCGCTAGACTTTGCCACGACGAAGATGCCCACTGACTCGGCAGGCCGAGCCGCCACTCTGAGAAGCCCCCTCTCCGCCAGCTCACGGACAAGCGAGCGGTGGGGCATCGGATTCCTTTTCAGCACGGGGTCCGTGCACAACCTCTGCATGCCGTCGAAATCAACGGCCTCCGGCTCCAACCTCATGCGCCAATGGTTCTCCCCCAACAAAGAACGGCCCTCGGCGCTCGCGATGCCCGCGATGCCCTCGATGCAGCGGCAGCTGTGCGCGCAGTCGGGGAGCG